CTGCTCTAGCAACGTGCTCTCATTCTTCTGGTTTCCTTACTGGCCTCCACGTCTACTCTCATATAGATTCCTTGTCTATATGTACTTGTTCCATTGCCTTGAACTCATTCTACATTTCTCCTTGAGAACTTGATTTCCTTCCTCACCTAATCCTGGTGTCCTATCCCTATTGCTCTCATGTTAAGGTTTTCAACTTCCAACAGTTTCAGTCTTGCCTCCATACTTACTGTTTCCTTCCCTTCAGTCAGGTCCATGTTCCCTCACCCTTCCAATAAGACACACTCAAAAACCCATGAAAAAGAGAAAACAGCAGATTTTGGGGAGCACAGGGGATGATTTCCATCATCCCACTCAGTCCAGATCCACCCCAGCCCATAGTGGCAAACAGAGGTCTCTTTTGGGCCCACAACAGGGGAACATTTGACTGCAATAATAGTAAGGATGGCAGGGACACATGCTAATTCAGGAATGTGGAAAATTACTTTCTTCAAGGCTCATAGATTATCCTCCATGCAGTTAGAAGACCAGACACCCCAGTTCAGTTTTTTCTGAAAAATTCCAAGTTTGCTCTAGAGTATAAAGGCATTTAAGAACCTCAAATATAAGATCTCCACAATAATTTACCCTAGAAAAAGCCCTTTTTTTCTTAGGTCATATTTGATAGTAGTGAAGTCATCCTAAACTTTCATCCTCAATATAGAAAATTTCATGCCAAGCAGTGGACTGTAAGCAAGTGGCATGTTATCTAAGGCACAGTTCAGCAAGAAAAAATTAGCACATGATATGCTACCTTTAGCTGTAGTTAAAGTTTAACAAACTTAAAGAACAACTGACAAACCTACTGTAGGCAGTTATATATGTAAAGTATAATGGATTACTAAATGTGAAATAGTATTTAAGTTAGTAATAAGAACATGTACGTGTAAAATAAAATTATTATGACTTTACCTTCATTTTCACTCTTAGTTTATATACTCTGTAATTACTCAATACATTTTCCTCAGCTGAGCAATCTCAGAAGAGTGGATGATTGTGTAATCCAGAGCTGCTTATGGTAGCATAAGAACAGTTGCATGACTGTAATGAAACAAGAAAACAGATCTACTCTAGTTTCCATTGACAAGCCTAGATAGTAATTAATGCTCTGCTAGCAAAAAATTTATTTTATTCCAAGGATTAGTTTACTCAACAGTAATGACTGGCACACACAGACACATCTCTGTGGAAGTGCTGTCCCTTGCCTGGGTAGGAGAACTTCAGTGATCTGCTCTAGCAGAACACATAACATGATATCAGGAAACAGCAAAACATCTCTTCCCCATCCTTCTTCAAGCTGCATTTGTAATGAGCTTAAGCCAGAGCTCTCCAGTAGTTTACTTATTACTTATAGCAGGGACCAACCAGAGATGGTGTCCAGGGGATTAACTGTGCTAGGCAAATAAGATTCCACTGTTACTACCTTTCTGTGGAAATAACTCTGAGCTCTCTGCATTGCATGATGTTAAGAGCACAGTTCTCATATTAAGTTGAGTAGGGAATGTCACTATATATTAAACTTAACTGCACAGAACATAATTGAACTCAATGGGAGATGCTGTCCTCTATGTTTCAGTGGGACTTGACTTTGAAGAAATAATAATTCACTGGTTTATAAAGGCATTTATAAACTTATTATACAAGAAGTGCCAGTGCAATACTGTGATTTATAGACACTGGTATGATTCACCTTGAGATTTTTGTTGTATCTTGCCAAAAGCAGCTATTATCAAACCCCAAATGACTCTTAACAACACTACTATCGACATGGCATTTAGAAGTTCCTTCCCTAGTGGGAACAAAACCATCTCTTTTCTTCCAATGTTGAAAATTAAATGCACAGCATTAACACCAACAGTGAGGTGTTTAACTTCAAAATTGCCTTTCCTGGTGAGAATGAAAATAGTACTTGCTTTGTTTTTCAAAATTAACAGCAGTGTTTTTCTCTCTTTTCTAATACACATACTTATCAACCTGAGACACAGTTATATCTCTTAGCGCTAATAGAGTACTGCAGGTATACACCTATGCTTGTCTGTGCACAACATCCCATACTCCAGGAGTAGGATTTATCCTGTTTCAATGTGATTCAAGCACACATTAATAAAGTAGAAAGAATATGACTGGGAAAAAAAAAACGTTAGGGAAGACAAAAGGCTCGTTTTAAAGTCATCTTTGTACCAGCAACAACACATTGATGCAGTAGTAACACAAAAGAAAATTAACCCAAAATTAAAGCATAAGGTTCCAGAAAGGCATCAGACCAGAGACGTTCCTCACTACAACCAAAACCTGTTGTGAGCCATTCTACATTTGTGCAAAACTGTTCCTGATTTTTCTTCAGATGTCACCAGTATTTGTGTTCACACATATAGTCAGCAGGTAAAGAGATGAAATGGCTCTCAGTTAATTTGTCCTCAAAAATTGGACAAGGGTAAATTCTTCTAATCAGTCCTTTAGCCACTCTAGGACCGGATGTGCTGAGTCTCCAACACTTCCTAGAACAATTCCTTTGTAGGAGCCCAGGACTCACAGGTGAGTCCATATAATCTTATGCACACAGGGTGACTGGAAGCACTCACAAAGCCCTGAGGTGTGGAGTCCTGCCTCTGTGGTTTGGCTGTCATTAACTCAGCAACACCAGAATATGACTTCTGGAGATCCCTCTGAGTATTTGAAATGTTCTTATCACCATCCTGTGGAATCTAACCCTCCCCAGCTCCCACTCTTAACTGGTATATGAGCAGCTCAACATGGGCTAGTCCTTAGTCCACTTGGCAACTCAGATGCTTGTGGAGGAGGACAGGATATTCTTGTCTGTACTGCTTGGTCTTCTTCTTCTACAAGAGTACAGACAATTCTACTGCAGCCACTCAGGCTTTATTGAATTCCTGCTGTCTCTGAGGGGCAGATCTCAAGCCCAGGTCAAGTCCCAACCAACTTCATTAGAAAGAAAACTGTTTCATTGAAGAGCATAAACAGGCTGGCAGAATGGATGATCTTAGCTGAGGTGCAAACTCAAGTCTACGTTTGCCAAGGATTTCATTCACCTTCCCTTCTAAGGTCTGTATGGACCTTCATGAAGTCAGGAACTGTGGTATCACAGACTTAGAGGTCTAAGAGACAAGCCCACTTCACCTCTAAGCAGAATCCCTAATGTGACACATCATGCCCTTTCTGTATTTGAGCCTATATTACAGGATAACCATACGTGGGTCTGATACAACAAATGCCTGGAAATACATGTGGTGATTACACTTTCTAAACTTTCTGACACTGTTTTGTAACAAGCACATTGCTCCAAGCCACCCACAGCAGAGAAGATACAAACTTTCTGCCTTTCTCTTCCTGTCAGTCCCATCCCATTCATTACTGTTCCCTTGCTCTCTGTCACTGAACTATTCTTGCCAATGCACAAGATAACATTGTATGGCCTAACCAGGAAAGCAAAGCAAAAGCACTTCCATTCTAACAATGGAAAAATAGCAAAAGAAAAAAAAAGCATTGGACTTCTTTTTTCTGACTTCATTTCCTTAATCCCTTCGTTTTTTCTCTGTAGAGGCACTCTTAGTTAAACCACTACATAACCATTTCCACAAAATAAGACATCTAGGTCATTAAAGATAAATACTTCTTCTTTAAATGCAATCTGTCCTGTAGTTCAGTTCATAATGACATGTAGGCGTTAAAAATTGAAAACTTAGGCAAACCCAGACTTTTAATTCAGGAGGAAAAATCAATACAGCTCTCCAGGGACAGCCCTTCGGAATTCAAAATTCTTTCCTCTTTTGCACTGACTCAGCAAGCCCTATCTTGGCAGACTGCAGCTTGTGATATTTTCACAGTGTGCTTATTACTTTTTCACAGAGAATTGTTCAAATTATGGAGTAAGATTTTGCAAACTAAAGACAGCCTACAGAGCTACAAGAGCAATTAGCTGAACCTTTTGTAGGCAGCAGTCCTCATATAATGCTTCCTCCAAAAAGCTACAACAACCCATGTCCTTTCCACTACCTTTCTGTCACATGCCAATGTTTAAACCTGGAATATGTCAAGATTATTTTAAGTCAGGGTAAGTCTTTAGTGCAAGCCATCAGGAAAGGAGACCTAATCAGGGGAACAGGCAGCATTGCTCAGTCAAAGACATCTAGGAACTAAGGCTTTAAGAATGGAGCAAATCAAGGCGTTGATGTACATCTATGTACATCATATATTACTTGCTAACTTGGCAAATAATCAAGGTCCATGTATCCTACACCTGAACTATCCTCTTATAATATTAAAATTCGTGCCTATAGGTCAAAATACCCCTGCCCAGGTGAAGACCCCTCCCCAGAGCATTGGATAGAAGTTAGCTGGGGTTACATAACTTGTATGGAAATTACAAACCCATCATCATAGAGGTAATTGCTAACCAATCATCACAGAAATTCCAGAGGGGCAAACCTGATTTGTGGAATACCACTGAGAACCCAGGCTTGTGCAATTCTGAAATAAATAATCATTGCCTCTCTTAATTATTGTCCAGGCAACAAATCCGATTGTATGGACAACACTGAGGAGGAAAGGGGGAAAGGACCTGAGGGTCCTTTTCCTTTCACCAGTGGAAGATGATCTGTGGGTGCTGGTGGAACATGAATCAGCAATACATGAGCCAACAATTTGCCCAGGTGGCCAAGAAGACCAGCGGCATCCTGGCCAGGATCAGAAATAGTGTAGCCAGCAGGAACAGGGAAAGGATTGTCCCTTTGTACTCAGCACTGGTGAAGCCACACCTCAATTGCTGCATCCAGTTATGGCCACTCAACTCAGGAAGGCTATTGAGGTGGTGGAGCAAGGCCACAGAAGTGAAATGAAGCTGGTGAAGAATCTGGAGCACAAGCGCTACCAGGAGCGGCTGAGGGAGCAGAGGTTGTTTAGAAGAACAGAAGCTCAGGGGAGACCTCATGTCTCTCTAGAATTACCTGAAAGGAGGCTGTAATCAGGTGGGGATCGGCCTCTTCTTCCAGGCAACCAGCGACAGGATTAAAGGACACAGTCTTAATCTACACTAGGGGAGGTTTAGGTTGAACATTAGGAGGAATCTCTTCACAGAAAAGGTTGGGAAGCATTGGAACAGGCTGCTCAGGGAAGTGTGGAGTCACACCATCCCTGGAAGTGTTTAAAGGAAGACTGGACGCGGCACTTAGTGCCATGGTCACACCGACAAAGTGGTGCTCGGTCAGAGGCTGGAGCCCAGGACTTCGAGGACTTTTCCAGCCTAAGTGATTCTGTGATTCTGAGGTAAAACACCAACTGATCCGCCACAAACTCCGACCTCAGCAAGCCTGGAAGAAACCAACCCGTACAGCAGAACTTTTGTTCACGCTTTCACCAGTCACAGTGCAGGGTTGTAGCCGAGCCCAGAGCACCTCTTTTCCTCGGCACCCCGAGACGTGCGGGCGGGACGGGCCCCACGCGGCTCCGCGGCAGCGCCGAGGCCCAGCGCGCCCCAGCGCTGTCCGTCCGTCCGTCCGCCCCGCCCCGGCCCGCCCCGGCCTGCCCGGCCCATGCGGATGTGAGCTCACGGCGCGCCGGGCGGAAGCCGCGGGGCGGTGTTTCCGCGGCGGCGGCGATGGCGGGGAAGGCGGCGGCGGCGGCTGCGGCGGGCGAGCCCCTCGGGCGGACGGCGGAAGAAGCGGCCTGGGCGGAGACGCTGCGCGGGGCCTGCGAGCCTGAGCACCACTGGCGGTACCGCCGGGAGTTCCTGCTGCGCAACGTGGGGGAGCTGCCGGCGGCGGGCAGCGCCCAGCTGCAGCGCCTGGTGTCCCTCTCCATGGTGTGGGCCAACCACGTCTTCCTGGGATGCCGGTGAGTCCAGCGGGACGCGCCGGGGGACAGGGGGCGGCGAGGCGCGGCCGTCTGACGAGGCCCCTTCCCTCCTTTCCTCTTGTCGCCCCTCCAGGTACCCGCCGCAGGTCATGGAGAGGGCGCTGGAAATGGCCGAAGGCATCCAAGTGACCAACGCGCCTGTCCACACCACGAGAGACGAACTGGTTGCCAAGGTGAAGAAAAGAGGCATATCAAGTAGCAATGGTTAGCAGATCATAGCTGTGACAATACATAGGAGTCTAGAAAATGCTTGTTTCTGAATGTTCTCGGTTTGCCTCGGGCTTAGAAAGCAGTTGAAATCATTTACTTCTTAAACTCCCGCTAATAGTTTCCTCTGTCTGTGCTATTCTTTTTCTAATATGTCTCTAAAATGGACATAATGCGTAGATAGTAATTTGGTAATGTAGAGCTGTTGTTTTGAATTTCTACAACTGGTGCACTTTAATCTGACAACTTGTGCATTGTGATATGTGCTGCTGTGCTCCAGCTTAAACACGTTCTTGTTACTTTGCCGTTGTCGCTGTGTAAGAAACTGCATTTCTAAAAGTAACTCTCAGACTTACATTTTAAAGATGTTTTGTGACATTAGTAGACCAAATACACTTTCTTTATTTCTAGGTCAGATAACCCATTTAATGTATGTTGGCCAGTTTTGGTTTGGACTTCAAGAATAGAAATACATATTTGGGTCCAAACCAACATCTAAAATCTTGCATGAGTGTATGCCGGATGTTGTCCAAAAAACTCAAAATTCTGAAATAGTAGGTTAATACTTGAAATGACAGTTCAAGGTGTATTGCTAATATTTGCCCTTTAAATTCACAGAGAATATTGCTAGAAAGTTTTAGATTATTTTTCTTTACATGGATATTTCATAGTGCAGAAATCAAAGAGGATCACATATTTTACCTGTTTTGCAGAAGGGGTAGAGGAGCCCTCCAAGAGACAAGCTGTTGAAAAAAGCAGAGACTCTAAAGATGTTGGAAAGAATGTGAAAACAACCAAGGCAGAAGGAGCAAAGGAAACAGAGAGCACCTTGCCCAAAAAGCAGGAAAAAGGTATTAGCAAAGATCCAGAAATTTCCCAGTCAACTTGCAGTTCAGATCAAGAAATGGTCACAGTCTCAGACACAGAAACAGAAGGAAAACCTGCTAATGCTGAAAGTACTGCTGAACAAAAGCCACCTTCATCTGAAAAAGAGCCAGGAAAGAAGCCTTGTTCAAGCCCACCCAAGGAAAGCAAGTGTGAAAATGTGCCATCACCTGAAAAGAAAACTACAGGAAGTGTAGCACCGCTGGCTGCTGAGAGCACCCCTCAGGTAGCAGCAGTGGTGGTGGCAGCACAGCCACCAGCTTCCAAGAGCACCCCACAGGCAGCAGCTGCGGCAGCAGCAGTGCCATCAACCTCCAAGAGCACCCCACAGGCAGCCACTGTGGCAGCAGCAGTGCCATCAACCTCCAAGAGCACCCCACAGGCAGTAGTGCTGGCAGCAGCAGTGCCAGTGACCACCAAGAGCACCCCACAGACAGCAATGGTGGCAGCAGCAGTGCCACCAACCACCAAGAGCACCCCACAGGCAGCAGCAGCGGCAACAGCAGTGCCACCAACCACCAAGAGCACCCCCCAAACAAGTGCTGCGTTGCTGTCTTCCAAAACCCAGGTGGGTGCCCCAGCATCAGTGTCCAAGAACGGTGCTCAGGTGAGCAGCTCACTGCTTCTGGCCCCCAAGAGTGGTACTCAGGTGGGCACCTCCCTGCTGCTGGCTTCCAAAGGCCCGGCTAAGGTGAGCTCCCCGCTCCTGGCCTCTAAGAGCAGTGCAGAGGTAGCTGCCTCTTTGCTGGCCGCTCGGAGTGGTGCGCAGCCGGGATCCTCAGTGCTGGCTTCCAAGAGCAGCGCTCAGGTGGCTGCTTCGCTGCTGGCTGCTCGGAGTGGAGCTCAGCAAGGGCCCTCCCGAGGTGGAGCTCAGGCAGGTGCTTCCCAGCTGGCCTCCAAGAGTGGCTTGCAGGCAGGTGAAAGCCCTGCAAAGGCTTTGTGCAAACCGCTGACCAGCGAAGATGCGAAGGAAAGACAACCATTTTTCAACAGACTCTACAAAGCTGTAGCCTGGAAACTGGTTGCTGTTGGAGGCTTCAGTCCTAATGTAAATCATGCAGAACTTCTAAATTCATCTATTCAGTCTGTAAAAGCTACGTTAGATGTTGCTTTTGTTCCTCTGAAGGAACTTGCAGACTTGCCTCAAAATAAAAGCTCTCTAGAAAACATAGTTTGTGAACTGAGGTGCAAGTCTGTCTACTTGGGTACTGGCTGTGGTAAAAATATGGAAAATGCCAAAGCAGTGGCTTCAAGAGAAGCTTTGAAATTATTCCTCAAGAAGAAAGTTATTGTGAAGATCTGTAAAAGAAAATACAAAGGTAGTGAAATTGAAGATTTGGTGCTTCTGGATGAAGAGTCAAAACCTTCAAATTTGCCTCCAGCTTTAAGAAATCCTCGTGAGATCTTGTAGGGGAGAATCACTGTTTGTACTGTGTATAATATTTCAATACAAGGACTGAAGGTTAATTTTGTACTTTGAAAATGTAGGCTTCCAGATATTTTGTATTTCTTTCTCAGTTTTGCAAGACAATGATAGTTCTTTCACTTGGTAGCAATTGTATAAAACTTGTTAGAGATGACAAGTGCGCATTTAAAGGTATTGCCTTAATATACAGCACACTAGTGTGCTGTTGTATTTGCAAAATAGTCTACCTAACTCTTCTATTTTTAATTAAACTATTAAGGTACAATTTGCTGTTTAAAACCTGACGTTTTTGTAATTCTTACAAATTGATGGTAGTGTGCTCAATTGTCTACCATATCTTTTCTAGGCTTGTAGAAGTGTGTACATAGGGACCATAATACTTGAATAATTGAAAGTTGTTTAAAAATTTCAATCAAAAAGTTGAATTATATGTTTCAGGCTTGTTGATCATAATGTTCACTGTTGCTCATACTAGGAGAGAAAGTAGTTGGTTGACTATTTTTATGGGATGTTTTCATAACACTTGCAATATAAGTGACATCCTGATTTCATTTAACATTATGCTATCAGGTTAGACCCCATTTAATATCACATTGACAAATTAGCAATTAGCAGTCAAGTTACAGCTATTTCGGCCACCAATACTGTAATCATATTTAATTTATATGGTGAAGTATCATTTACAGTTTTGTTTGGTACTTTTATTTCCAAATGAACGTGGATTTCTATACTAAGTATATTTTGACTGCTACTAAAACAATAAAACCTCTGTGATAAGTGTCTAGAGTATTTTGGTTTTGGCTATTAAATATTCCAGCCATTTCAATAACATTGTAACACCTTCAGTAAAGCTTTACAATGAGTGGCTTCAAGGTGTAATCCCACAAGAATGAGTTGGTTTCTTTAGCTGTCTAGCTGAAATACTGTAAAACTGATAGAGGGGACCTGTAGAAACTGTTGTAACACCAAGGTAAGCAAAATGAAAATGCTGCTGTCTGCTGGAGACAGTGAGTGTAGTGTAAAGCATTCATTCTAATCAAGCCCTTCCTTTGTTACATTTTTACTCCCTGTACAGAATAGTTTGAGGCAAAGAAAGTGTGAGATTACCTTATATTTTCAATGTTGCTGAAATACCTGCACAAAATGCATGTTTTGGTATATTGGATAATGACATGTAATTGTAAAATCATAATGTCTTCAGTGCTATTTTGAATTAATCTTGTCCTGTTACAGTAGTTAGCATCATTTAGTGGTGTCCTTACACTTGACTGACAGATCCATTGATCAAGTGCTAAAGGAATGAATAAGAATTTCTGGGATCTCAGTAGTGCATATGTCCACTTTCAGTTATTTTGTAAGTTTTAGGTCTAAACCACAGTGGTGTTTACGCTGTACCCTGCGTGCTTTTGAACAGCAGTGGCCGTGCAGTCCATAACACCAGAAGTCTACAAGGCGCTCGCACTTCCCGATGGCTGGTTGAGAACTTCCTCCAGCTGACCCCTGTGCTTCTGTGCCCTCGGTCGCCCTTCACCTAGTTAGATTTCTCAGGAGTTCCCCCTTGGCATTCCTGGAGCACCACCTGGCGTTCGGAATGCAGTGTGCTAAATTGCGTCTTGGTGCAAGAATTGGTGTCTGCTTCTAGCACAGGGCAACCTTCGTGCTGTGCTTAGGAGCTCTGGTATTCATGATGGGAAGGGTGAGATCTGTTTTCAAATCCTTACGCTGCTCAGGTAGACACATGTAAGGACTGTGCTTGTGAGGCAGGAGTTGCGTCCCGTGCCCTCTGCAGTACGGTTTTCTCTGCTGTTAATCTGGGCATCTCCAGATCTCTGGTTCAGAATTGCAGCGTTGTTGTAATGTGAAAACCTGTGTTTCTCGTCTGTGAAGCAAAGTTCTCAGTATTCACTGACTTCAAGGGGCTGTTAGGGCAACTGTGTTAAAAGGCTGAGGTGCTAGATGCCTTTTTAAAAATACCTGACTTAGAATTACTTTTTTAAAATTTTTGAATGTTATTCCTCTTTGATGTTTGGTTGTGAATCATTAAAGAACAAGTCTGTAGCTACTCTTAACAGAAACTGAAAGCTGAAGTGTGTTATTTTTATTTCACATTCTGCATGGAAA